TCACTCCACTTCTGCCTGAAACTCATGAAATTTTCCACAAGCTTCTGACTTGTGTCGCATTAGGTAAATATATCTAAAACGTGAATAATCATCGGTGAAAGTGATGAAGTACGCAAACCCTCCTCTTGCTTGGGTGTTCATAAGACCACTCACATCTGTGTGTACCAATTTTAATTGTTCTTTGGCTCTATATCCTCTGGCTGAGAAAGCCATTCGAGTCATCCTTCCTTTAATACAGGATTCACACGTTGGCATAGGCTCATCTGCCTCACAAAATAATAAACCTTCTTTAACCAACCTTTGAATCATATTTTGATTGATATGACCCAATCGTAAATGCCAAAGATACAATGAGTCTGGAAAAACTGCCATTCTTTTAACATTCAATTTAGATGAAGTTGCATTTATTTCAACATTATGCATTTGATATGAGCCAGGAGTTAAAATGTATAGACTATCTTTCAATGCACTAGAAATTATAACATAACCATTCAATTTAATTAAAACAGTTTTCCCAAATGTAAAAATATAGTTTTTGCAAACGAACGATGAAACGGAAATTAAATTATGCCTAACACTTGGCGCATAAAGACAATCTTCTAACACAAGACTCTTCCCACTATCAAACTGCATATGAACCACTCCCACTACTTTAGCTTCCACCTTGGCATTAGATCCCATATACAAGTATATCTCTCCTTCATTGAGGCTTCTGGACTCCTGGAATCCCTGCAAAGAATTGCAAACATGATTAGTGACTCCAAAATCTATGCACCAGGAATCTATAAATTCAACTACATAGCATGCTTCAACAACGAATATATCTTTTCCTTTGCCTTGCGTGCGAAGTGTTTGACAGTTAGGTTTCCAGTGACTCGGTTGACCACAAAGGAAGTATTTCCCTTCGCCTTTAACCCGCACTTTCTTCTTCCCCTTTCCTTTTGGATCATTTTGTTTGGCACTACCACAGTTTGGGCACCATCATTCTTTTTCTTTTTGCCCCTCCTCTTAGGCTAGAAGTGGATGGTCCAACAGACTGAGTGTAGTTGATAGATGCACCTTTACTCTTGATTATCCCTTCAAAAGTTACCAACTCATTCAGAAGTTCAGCAAGTATGTACTCAAGCTTATTCATTGAATAAGTAACTCTAAAAGAATTGAATGAGTCTGGCAATGAGGTGATAATCATGTCAACCTGAAGCTCACCATCCAAGTTGCATCTAAGGATCTCAAGATCATTTAAAAAACCAATCATTTTTAAAGTATGATCTCGAACTGGAGTACCTTGGACCATCTTGGTGGTTATCAAGTTTGTCATAGCATTTTGGCGTGCACTCTTACTAACTCACCCAAACATTTCCTCGAGGTTAGGCATAATGTCAGCAGAGGTGAGATAATGAAGATGTTGACTTTAGTGTACATTCGAGATTGAAGCAAGAATGTAGCACCTAGTCATCTCATCTGTTTTATTCCACTTCTTAAAAGCTTCATGCTCCTCAGGAGGATCCTCAAACAAAGGTGGAGAAGGTCGGGGAGTAGTGAGCACAAAATTGAACCCCTCATATGTGAGTACAATATCTAGTTGTTTTTTTTAATCGATATAATTTGGTCCAATTAATCGATTATCTTTTAGTATGTTTGCAAGTGGACTAAATGGAATAATCATGATAAATATGAAAATAAAAGCATACAATAAATAAGGTGAATAAAAATAATCATGCAAAATAAATTAATTAATAAATTTTAATTAATTGTGTGTTCCTTAACCACGTCGCATGAAAAATCAGACAATTAATTTGCCAATAACTTATCCGATTGGCGGAGTTCATTATTGCAATTGACGAGAAAAATTCATGATTTTCATATTTTTTTAGACAATGCCTTATCTATATATGAAATAATTCCCAATTATGTTTAGCCTTTCTAAAATCACCTAGTATAGACAATTCCGTAGGGGAGCTAACACTATTGATTTTATATTAAGTTTAAAACGTTATTAATGCTCCAACGAAAAATGAAATATTAAATATATTGCCATTATAAGTTTAGACTCTTTAAATCATGCGTGGCGCCTTATTTTTAAAGATCTAACTACAATGAATATTTAATAATTTTATTTTCGTGAGAAGATCATTCTTGTAATCTCAAACTCTTTAAATCACATGTGGGGCATTATTTTTAAAGATCTAATTACAATGGTTATAATAACGAAGGCCATGGGGCAATGTATAAAAATTCCCACTCTCACTCAATTTTTTAATCATTTATAATTAGAGTTTTCCATTCATTTACTTACATGATATAATGCATGCAAAACGCCTTGATTTTTTTCTAATTAAATTTAGAAAATATTTGAAATTTTAAATGATTCACTAATATTTAATTTAAGGCACACTTTTAAAAAGAATTTTTCAAAAAGAATTTTTCATTTCCCATTAAGTGCCCTCTGATTAATTAGTAATCAAATCCAATTAATTTTCATAATTTAATTAATATAAATCAAGTCATTTAAATAAATATTATGGATCCAATACATTAATAACAATAATTAGCAATTATAAATTCCATACATTTCATATTCACATAAATAAATAAATAAAAGACTAAAGCAAATAAAATGGCCAATAGATTTAACTTTTAACATTTAAATGCTATAATTATTGCATAAGGGTCCACCATAGGCTTGTGTACACCTACAATAGGCTGGCACCTGGCCCCACGCGCCATCGCACGCCCCTACACACCTGGATATTCTGGAAAAATTCAAAAAAATTCCAGAAAATTCCAGGAACCTTATTTTACACTCTTAGGCATTCTTGAAGATTCATAGTACCCATTGATGAAGATTACATGGCTTTAAAATTAATTTTACATATGAAATACAATGAAAAATAAATAAATTACATCATTGAACTTTTAAATGACTAAATCAAAGCCTTAATTACATTTATCCAAAGATAAAATTACATTTAACCAATAAGTTTCATCCATAACCCAAATATACATCATCATCATCATCCATAACCCAAATATACATCATCATCATCATCCATTCACAAATATACTTACATCATCATCATGTATCAATATATATCAACATATTAAATCATACATCAACACACATCAATAAATACATATGCATATATAAATTGGATCCATGGATGATGATTTCATAAAAAGCATGATTTCTAGTCATGAATCAAACCAAGCTCTGATACCATTGTTGGAAAAAATGAAGTTTTTAAAACTTTTTATGGGATTTTCATACATAGATCTTGATTCATCACATACAGACAAGTTTTATTCAAAAATAAGATGATGAATCATTTAATTAGTAAATTGAATACTTACATCAAAGGTTTGAGTAAACCTTAAATCTTTCCTCTAAAGTGAATGTTCACTTATTGTAAATCCTTTAGGAAGATCATTTCTCCTATGATCTTCTTCTTCTTGGTAGTGATCTCTCCTTTAGGAATCACCCATAAACCTTGATGAATGACCTTGGAGGCAAGACTTTTGGTAAACTCATTTAGATGAGAAAACCAACCCTAAAAATCTAGAGAGAGAATATATTTTTCGGTCTTGCAAAGGCATAACCTAAAATATAAATGGACCCATGTATATATAAGTAAAATAAAAATAAATATTAAAGACAATATATTTTCTCTCAATCTCTAAAATTCACGTGATACCTCAAATCTAATGGGCCTCCAAAATCAAGTTGGTCTATGGGTGAGAATCCCTTGGGCTTACTATTTTCTTGGCTACTATAAATTAATAATTGGTCTGGTCCATTAAACCATGGATCCAATTCACTTAATTCATAAATTAATTTCTACTATACTAAAAGAAATTAATTGAACTCCAATTAAATAGTAAATAATCTCTAAGTCAATATTGCATTTTTACCCCTCTATACATAATTATTTATCAGATTATAAAGCCATCAATCCGACTACATAATTAATATATTTATTTTGATACCTTTGATTATATCCGGCTTGATCACAATAAAAATTTGTTTGAAAAAAATAATAATTTAGTAAATTAATACGTAAAAAACAGTTTTTAAAATATACGAAGGCCTTCGAATTTAATTTGTGATCATTCATAATCAATACAAAATAAATACAAGTAGCACTGAAATATTGAGAATATAACCCTCTAACTATTAATTACATAACTACCCAAAATGCCGGTCATTGGATCCTCAAGTATCCGCTGAACAAATCAAAGTAATTATTAATTAATAAAAGAGTCAATACTTCTCCCATACTTGAGGGTCAAATGACATGACAGTGATAGAGAGCAATTGCGTATAACGGTTCTCGCAATATATATCAGCTTATCGTGGATTCAGTTCAAGTCTTAGTTAATTAAATATCCAATCATAATTACCGACTTTGAACTATTTATTATTACTTTTTATAACCTAGTATTAATTTCCATCACATACATATATAAATATATATTGTAATGACCAGTTCCATAATGAATCGAAAAAATAATACATTACATTTACCAATTGTATAATGTATTAATAATAATATTTAGATAAGGAACAATGACTTTTACCGTTCAAACAAGAATTTGCTATGCTAGGGCACACAAATCTCAATGAGACCTAGAACCATGGTTGACAGTGATTATCCATACTTCAACATGTTTCTTGTTTATTTATTTTTTCTATCAACCAAACCTCCTTTTCTAAAATGCAAGGCGATCACAATGTTTTCACCTATTTCATACATCTTCTCTACTTGGCTTTCCATGGAATTATGTTGCAAAATCCAAACTTTTAAGATGTCCCGGCTCCCAGTCAGTTGAACCTTTACTGGTGTTCTCATCTTGACTGAGATCTTGTGCAAACATCCTTTTTAACTCCATTTTTCAATTTTTCGCAACATAAAAAATTATCACAAATTCAACCAGTGGAACCATCCGTTACAGTATTTTCTATTTTTTGCGACATAAAATACAAATGGCCCCAAAGGAAGGACTTGAAAAGGAAAATCAATAGTAAAATTAGAACAGGGAGAAGAATATACAGTTATCATTGATTGATCTCGAATACATAATCATATATTGGCAATTAAAAATTTGGAGCTGAAATTTTTTGAACAACAGATCCATCTTACCGCTAATGGATAGATGTAAGCCAGCATTTTCCCGGCATTCATCCTAAAGATTGCTTTGTTCATGACAATAGAGAAGTGAATCTGAGCTGACATCTGGGATAGAAGAAGCCACACCAGCTGGCCTAGGTGGGGTAGTGCTGATTGTGGTCGGTTTATATGCATGAGGGTGCTGTATTACTACTAGAATGGAATCCTTAAAGCTTGCATCAAGAGAAGAAGAAGTTGGCTACATGAACACAAACTACAGTTTAGTACGAAAATATCAACTAATATCATAAGCATGGAAGAATATATATTAATAATAAAATCACAGATGGCTGTCCGTTGGAGTCGGCATCACTTACCACTCCAATGTGCCACTCATGGCTATTAAACTCTTTAAATACTGCTGCATCCATTTCCTGCAGTAACATGACTTCAAAATATTAGATGTTAAAAAACAATGTCTGGAAGGCATTTATCTATTTTCTGACCAGTGGATTCTAATTCACAGTTCAGATCACCTTTTTATGCTTCTTCTAGTGGGTTGATTATCAGCTCAGCTATGAATCAAGGACATAGCTGTACCTATGCATATATGAAGTCTGGCACGACTGTCTTATCAAAAGATGTTTTGCATAATGGTTATGGATGGGTCTAAATAATATGGTTGCAACCGGTTGACTTAAATGTGAGGAGTATGAAACGGAAAGTAAAAATCAGAAATAGGTGTATCCTAGTCAACTATAACATCAGACTAGAGAATTTAGATTTCACCAGTGAAGAAAGCAACAAGTGAAAGGTGTTTGGATGCAAACAATAATCTTTTATCCTTGGTACTTATTTTTCCAACTCTCTCAATGTGTTCTAGTCAGAACTGAATTATGATCACAAACATTTGGAGGGAAGATATATCAAATATAATTAACTAACATGACTGCTGCAAACTATGAATTTTGGTCAAAGAATTTCTCGTATTTTGTTTACAACTTACAATGCTATAGATGGGAGGCACCATCGTCTCTCCTTTAGACTTTACAGTAGGCATGACAGAGAAACGTGGTGCTAGATCCTGTGATCTGAAAGTCCATCTGCAAAACAAGGAAAGCACATATAATACTGGAATGGTCACATGGCAAACAAAGGAACATTGAAATTTTGTTGTATATTTATGAATATACAACAAAGTAAATGGCGGAAGTGTTCCTGAGCAAAGTAAATCTGAAGTAGTGTAATTCTTGCATACCCGATGTATAAAAATATGCAGAATTGTGCCCATTCCCGAACAAATAACCGAAGCCAATAAGTTTCCAATGAATTATCCATGTTAATGTATATCTGAAATTTGAAATGCTTAATTGTTAGCTTTCCACAGTTTGTATCTTGCCATATAAATTAATTTGAAGCAAAATTATATCCATACCGCAGTTTCTGCCACTGCTACCATCTGCATTGCACCTCGAAATTTTCTGTATAGTGCAAAAGCAAACAATGCACCAATATCAAAAAATGGTATTCGTCTCGTTAAATGCTACTTTATATACAGAGTACAAACATTTAGGAGAATTAAAAACAAAAACACGGATATATAGTGCATACTTGAGCATAATGTATTTCGTATAAACTGCATCATGCATTGCATCGACATCCTCATCCTCAATAAAACTTAATTGTTCCCGTAGAATTAATAAATTCTGAGATATATAGTGGAATATCATATAGAACGATATAAAATAGTTAAGCAACAGAAGGACCTGGATTGCAGGAAGGCAATGGCATTAGTATCTCGGGTAGAAGAACTGAGTGCTATTCAAATAAAAAGAAAATAACAACCAACACAATTCGGTTCAACTAGTAAAGAAAACTCACAGAGAAATAAGGTACAGAAGCTCTGTAACCAACAAGAGTCAAGTAGAAGACACACCCAAGTGCAGCTGTAGTACGGCGCTCAGGTACCGAAAGGCGCTCACACGTGATGCAGTACCCATGAGAAATGAGAAAAAAGGACACAAAAGAAGCAGTCTGGAAGAGCACTCCGGTTACATAAACCCCAAATGACATCCACAGGGAACATATGTGAAGATTAAAGCATGAATACCTACAAGAACATGAATAGTTATAATTGGGATATATAATAACATGACATTAGCCAAGCTTGTTTTACCATATATTATGAATTATAATTCTCAATAGAATTCTTTCACTATAACACCCATGAATTTGTATTTCATTTGTATATGTAAATTTAGAAATATATGGTGGTGTGCAATTAGATTGGATTATGTAAATTTAAAAGGGTATCACAAACATCTTAAGTTGAGAAATGCTTTAACAATAACATTCATTAAATTTCTGCCACCATTACCGGAAACAGATGGGTGCTCAAATTTGGGGAAAAAAACATTATCCAACTTCCATGATTAAGTATGAGGAATGCATACCAGAACAGGAAGGACAGAGTGAGCTGCAAGGCTTTAATCAATGGCACAGATGTAAGCGACCACTGCAAATTATTCGTCTGCTCTAGTGCATACAAACAACCATAACAAAACAACATAATTAAAGACCGACAAATATCACAAAACTGTTGTGTTAAAAGGTAAAATAGAACCGAATAGAAAAGACTGAAGTAGACAACTAAATTTCAAGGAAATGCATTCGAAGGATGATTACTGTGTGCACTGAATAGAAATTTACAAAAATAGCAGTGAAATTCCAAAAGATCAGTACAAAAAACCCGGAAAATTTATAATGCGTGTTCAGCTTCCATTCAGTTTTCCAAGGAAAAGGAAGATTAGTTATCAGCTCAATTCAGTGAAAATTGAGATTAGCCAGACCCCAAATCAAGTAAATCTAAGATTACAATCTGTTTTCTCCCAACTTTTGTTATGTTTTTTGCATCAACCAAACAGATCATTAAATGGAACACATTTTCTACAGCCACTAAACAATGACAGATTAATATTGATATTAAGATTCCCAATTTTCTTCTCTCTCACACTCTCAGTAACCAAACTGATCAGTTATTAACTTATAACTGAAACAACATTTCTGAAGAGAGAAAAAAAAAAATAATAATAATAATAATAAAGAGGATGAATTAAAGAATCAAATCTATCACTAAACATGTAATTTAGCTTAATTGACCTGAAAAGTTAAAATTCGAACGGTAATTTGCTTACTTTTCGTTCATTTTCGCAGCCACCAAACAGATCATTAAATGAAACACAGTTTTTCCTCTCAGCCAGCAAACGTTAACAAAAATAACATTCTAAATATTTTCTCTCTCTCTCCCTCAGCAACCAAACTGATCTCACACTTGAATCTACAGTCCCAAAAACAAAACAAAAACAATGATGGAATCAAATTAATGACTATAAAAATGTAATAAATGGAGCTTAATTTGACCTGAAAATGGCGGTTTTTGTAAGTGTTGAAGGTCCAAGAAGAAGCTAAGACGAACCAGATCGACATGAAGGTCAAGTAGAGAGAAGGGAGAGGCCGATACGCTTCGTCGATACCGAAACGAAACGCACCCAAACGCTCCGATACGTCCATTTTCATTTTTTCCCCCTAATTTCTGTAATGCAATATAATGTAATTGAAGATATATCAACAATTCTTCCACCTTTTATCTATAATTCCATTACTTTTCTTCTTTTGCTTTTATAGATAGTAGTTGGTGTTGAGAACTTCGAAATGGTTGGTTACTAAATTATATACTATGTGTTTCACTGTATACTATGTGTGTGCGTGTGTGTATATATATATGTACACACACATACATACGCGCGCACGTCCCAAACGTGGCCTCTTGTCATGTTCGATTTACGGGTTGATCAAACAAGATTAAGAAATTGAAATTACCCTTGTGTCCCTAGATTCGGATTACTAAAAAATTTGGGTCAAATGTGTTGCTCTTGAAGTGACAAAAGTACCCTTGTTTAAGGAAAACGAAAAATCCTTGTTATAAGGAATCTTGAACTCTAACCGAGGAAAAATGTTAAATTCTTCAACTAAAGTAGTTGACTAACTTTAAAAGAGTTTAATGCATTTTAAATCTTAAAGCGGATCTACATGTGATAAAATTGATCAAGAAAAGAAAATAATATGATTGAAGTTTATACTGTACTATAAAGGGTTAAGTGCAGAAAATCATAGATAATATAGGTTCTGTACATAATGACTTCCTTCTTTTTATATTTCAGTATATAATATTAAAAAAAATATGTAAATAAGTTCCCTCTAATAACTTTTTGATAAAAAGTAAATCTAAAAATTGGATTTTATCTTTTTCATTCTTACTTTTCTCCTCAATATATTTTTGGGTTAAAATCACCCCCTTTCAAATTTGTGCATAAAACCTCAAATAAAATTGAATTTGTTTTCAAAATTACATTTATACCCACAAATAAGTCCTAAAATATTTTCATAGGATAATGAAGTGCTACTTTTCTTAAAAATTTCCACCAAAGTCCTATAATAAATACAATCCCACTATTACCCTTTTTATCTCCCCTCTCTCTCTCTCAGCATCTCCCCTAAAAAAATTGTCGTCAGTGTCACTGCTCTGGCAGTGGTCGCCGGCATCGCTGTTGTGGCAGCGGTCGCCGGCGCCACTGCCAATCATGGTTAATTAGGTCCCTGGGATTTTGTTGCAGAGGCTTTGATATGCCTGGAATCGCCCGAGACGAAGAACAAGTTGTGGTGGATCATGGCGCCAGGTTAGGAGGCTTGTTCAATTTACAGCGAGAGCACATCTCATTTATTGGAGTGGGTAATGTATGTTTAACTATCATAAAATTGCCCAATTTTTCAACATAAGAGCAGCGATGCCGGCGACTGCCAGCCGACGATTACGTGAGGGGAGAGGGTGAGAGGGGGGAAATGAAAAGGGTTAAAGTGGGATTCTGTTTATTATAGAACTTTGGTGGAAATATTTATAAAAAGTAGGACTTCATTGTCCTGTAAAATCTTTTAGGACTTATTTGTCTTTATGTTGTAAAAGTAGGATTAATATGTAATTATCCCTATGGAAAAATTCCTAATAAGTCTTACTTTTTAGCTCTAAAGACAATTAAGTTTTACAAATTTTTCAAAACGACAAAGAGTTAAGTCTTATTTTTGAAAAATATTTACAAACAAGTTCAGATTTTGTATAATATATATTTTTATATTATTATTACCCTTTTCAAACAGCTTTAGGCTTTCAGAATCTGAACTTATTTGAAAATATTTTACAAAATAGAACTTCTTTGTCTTTTTGAAAAATTTATAGAACTTGTTTGTCTTTAGAACTAAAAAGTAGGACTTAGGAATTTTCCCTTTATAATTTTCTTGTCCCAAATAAACAAACAAACAAACAAATAAAATGCAAGTATTTATAAAAAGGTTTATTTTATTTTTGTTTCAAACAAACAAACTCCTACACAAATTGGACAAAACAGTCATTTTATATGGCATGTGTTTATACTTATTAATTTATTTTGCTGAAAAGAGGATATTATCGTCAATTTAAGTCTCCAGTGGGCAATTTACACAAAATCAATAGTATAGGGGTGTTTTACATTACACTGGAACTATTTTGCACTATATCGATAGTAGAGAGTTTTTTTTTGCACTTAACCCTACTATAAAAAGTGTAGTTAGTCTCAAATTTTATTTCTATTTTAGAATCATTTCAAATGTTAATTTTTTTTTTTAAGGTAAGTCTTAGCCTCTAAGAAATTTTATATAAGACAAATTTTGGACACTAACAAATTGTAATCTTTATCCATCAGCGAATTAGGTGTGCAGATACATATAGCCCGTAAGGACAGTCTCGTGAAGGAGTGAGTTATGAGTTGGTGGGTAGAAAGAGTTAGGGTTGGTAAAGTGGACACTGAAAACAAGGTGTCATAGCGAGAGTGTGTCTTGCAGTGCATGGTGCAAAGCTCACGTATCTTGACCCTTGCCTTAGCAACCAGTTATACAGGGAAAACTTCAGGAGAGAGTGAAGATACAAGTTATTCCAATGTTGGTAATTTTCTACAAATTATAATATCTCCTCATCATTATATTGGAATCTCCTCATTCGTGGACGTAGGTCTGATTTAGAGGGAACTGCGTACATTTTATGTTATGCAGTGTTTTGTTGTTGACCTTCAATATGGTTGCATATTTTTTTTGCTATTGTAGATTGGAATTCAAAAGAGCCCAACCGGTCGTACTTTTTGCTACCGGTTTGACTTTCTCATACATGATGTTTTGCAAAGTGGAACCCATCGCACTTTCCTAGTTTGCATTATAGGGATTTTTTTTGTGCTCCTTTTGTCGTGTTAGTCTCAACAAGTGGTATCAGAGCCAAAGGTTCAGTTTGGGATGTTTGTTCGAAAAGATCCAAAAAAATATAAGAAGTCTCAGCAGGGGTTTTAATTACAGGTGGAGTCAATCAATCGGCTTGCTTGATTATGATGGCCAGTGGGGTTCACACTCAACCCTAAAAAAAGTGGGTTCTCTCTCAGCCCACAAAAGAGAAGGTTCGCTCTCAGCTAAGGTTTGCTTTCAGCCTTGAAAAAAGTGGGTTCTCTTTTAGCCCGTAAAAGGGAAGGTCTACTCTTGAGCCCTCAAAAGGAGCATGTGATGGTTTAATAGATCATTGAACTAACAAGTATCGATTGAAGCAAGGCTAGAGTCATAATGAGTTACATGGCGTGGAGCTCGAGTCATCAAGGTGGAGCCTCAAAGATTTGATAAATTGAGCAGCATATAATGAGAGAACCAGAAATTCACAAGATTGAAGCCGCATGAGTTATCCAATTCAATTCTCATAAGAAGCGATAATTTATGTGATGAAATTTGAGCCAAGGTGGAGATGGTTAGGAATTGTGTTTCAAATTCTAATTATATTTTAGAGTCATTTTGTACGGTAATTTCTTATAAGGTAAGTCTTTGTCTCTAAGGAATTTTATGTAATGTAAGTTTTGGTCACCAAGAAATTGTAACTCTTGTCCACCAAGAAATTGAGTGTAGGGCTCTATAAATCGAAATCTAGTGTATTGTTGAGATGTATAAATAAAAAGACATATAGCCCGTAAGGGCAGTCTGACGAGGGAGTGAGTTATGAGTTGATGGGTAGAGAAAGTTAGGTTTGGTAGAGTGGACATTAAAAACTAGAGGGTGTCTTATAGTGAGAGAGCGTCTCGGCATGGCGTAAGGCTCATATATCTACCTCTGCCCTAGATGCCTATTATACAAGGAAAGCTCTAGGCTAGAGTGAATGTACTAGTTATACTGATGTTGGTAATTCTTTACAAAATGTAATATCTTCTCATCATTATAGTAAAATATCATCATTCGTGGATGTAGCCCTAATTTAGGGTGAATGTCATACATATTGTGTTGTGAAATGTTTTGTGGTTGATCTTCAATATGATTGCATATGGTTTTTATTTATTTATTTTTTTTATTTGCTATTGTTTGTACAAAAATTCCATCTGCTCATAAATGGAAAGTTTTCTCATACAAAAAAACACTTTCCTTTCTTTTTTTTCTTTCCCTCTTCATATACTCTCATACTTTACCCTAATTTCTTTTCTTGGTTCCTATATTTAAGGATTATGGGCCTCAATCCTCCTTGGTTGCCCAACCTGTCTTTTGTGGCCTGCTTCGTGTCTTGATTGCTCTATTCGGTGGGTCCACGCCCTGCCCGGGTCTTTCTTGATGACATGTGGCGCTCGTGGACTAGTCTAGTTGCCAACTTTCTACTGGTGGGTATTTCTGCCTTTTCAGATTGGAATTCAAAAGAATCTAGCCGATCGCACTTTTTGTGACCGGTCCGGTCCAACTTGCTCGACACATGATGTTCTGCAAAGCACGAACCGATCTCACTATTTGGGACCGGTCACACTTACCTACTTATATAGGCCTATTTGACAACCGTTTTTGCTTTGTGCTTTTATTTTGACCCAAAACAAAAAAAACGTTTCTGCTTTGGAATGTTTCCAATAGTAATAGAAAGCAAGTTTGGTAACGTTATATTTGTTGCAAGATTTTTGAAAGTAAAAATATGAAAACATATTTGGTAAAAATGTATTGCAAGTTTGAAAAAACAAAAGACTAGTTAAAAGGTCATTTAATTGTTTTGGCATTGTCCATCACTACAATGTGGAAGCAAATGGAAACACTAATTTGGTGCTATGATTTGGCCTCTTTTTCGAAATCATTTCAGTATTATTTGTTTCGCTACGATACACTGTACGAAGTAAACACAAGGGTTTCTAAATAGGGCCATAACGTCTCTCCCTCAACAATGAATATTTAAACTCACCTTCTCATGCAAACTTATAATATAAAGTTAATCTAAAGATTCATTATATTGTCAAGTATAACTTTACTACCGATACAATACTCTAACATGATTTGGTTTAACCATTTTCTACAGTGGAACTATGCAATAAAAAACCACTTCTTTTTGAAATATCTAAAGAAAATTTGAAAAGTAGTATGAACTTTTTATATACAGTATATTCCATATGCGTAAGTTCATAATAAAGTGATTTAGAACTTAACTAACTGGATTTCTATAAACAACTTGGATTTCTCCAGACAGAACATAGTATATTTTTTATTGTAATCAAGTCTTTCTAGGATGAAATAAAGAAGGATAATATTGTAAAATAGCACTCTTGAACCATTTGATAAGACTGTAAAATAACACTTCTTTTGAACCATCCTTACTT